AGATATATATATATGTAAGCTGACAGGAGTGTGTTTCGATTATAAGTCTGCATAACAGTATACAATTTCAAAGACCAAATGCACAATGACAATGATATACCCAATGACCTGAAGGATCATGTGTGTTCATTCAAAGAAAGGTTTTCCTATGAATTAATTAGTAGAAAAGTCCATTTCTACTCTGCCTCTTGCCCTAGGACATGCAGGGATTTTCCCTGCTTTGCATTCTTTTGGCCAATAAACCCAGTGATATCAGCGTTGGTTGCCATGCAACAAGGGGCCTGTTCGGCTTCCTGGGGTGTTACGCATTTCGGGGGGAAGGGTTCATGGGTCCTCATATGGCTTGTTAACTGAGGGGGGTTACAGAGTATTTGTTAAATATAAAAACAAAATATATATTGTGTGTTTGATTGGTCCAGACGCTACACTTAATTATAAAATATATACAATAACTATAATAATAATAACTAATATTAATTACAATATTGTTCTTAAAACTGGATTTCATTTGAATATTCGAGAATTTAACATTTAAAACTGATTAAGCTTTGTATGAATTATGATCTTTTGATGATAATTATGAGCTTTTTTCATTGCACTTTGTTTCATACACAGTTCCTCAAATGCAATTTGATTCATGGCATCTCTAGTGATTGCATTACATTTTGGCAAAATGTCTTAAGAATTGTCATTACAAATTAAAGTGCACAATGGCCTTAGTTACCACAAATTATTAAATCAAACATTTGTCGACAGCCGCTTATGTAATAAGGGCGATTACATTGAGATCATTTACAACGCAAAAAAACAGTAATAACAAGGAAAAAGGTAATGCTTTAAAGGGGTCATATGATGCAATTTCAAATTTTCCTTTCTCTTTGGAGTGTTACAAGCTGTTCGTGCATAGATAAGATCCCTAAAGTTGCAAAGACTAAAATCTCAAACCCAAAGAGATATTCTTTATAAAAGTTAAGACTTGTCCACGCCCTCCTAAAACGCCTCGTTTAAACACGCCCCCACATGTCTACGTCACGATGTGGGAAGATTTGCATAACACCGCCCAAATGTTCGCGCTAAGAAAGAAGGTGCAACTTTTATTCTCGTTGTAGTATTGTTGTTGCCGCCGCCATGTCGTGAAGGCGCTGTGTGTTTCGTTGTGAAAGCGAAACTACTTTGTTTGGCCTTCCAAAAGAGGACGATATCCGCTTCGTCATGCCTAGAGCTGATCCGTGCTGGTCGCTGAGGAAATACATCAACTTCGAACTGTGGATCGCCGGATCGGCTTTCACCGCTCACTCAAGCCCGCCGTGTGTGATGCTGTGTGTTTCGTTGTGAAAGCGAAACTTCTTTGTTTGGCCTTCCAAAAGAGGACACAACTAGAAATCAGTGGTTAAGTTGTATTTACAACACTGTTCCAGAACAGTTCAACCCAAATATTCAGATGTGTGCAGCGCATTTTATGGAGGACTGTTTCCTGAACCTGCAGAGTAACGTTAGCCTACAATGCGACTGTGAACAAAGGCTGTTTCTATAAAGTTGGGCAGTTCCAACTTTGCAAGGACAGTCTGGCGCTTCTGACTCACAGACTGTAAGTACGTTTTTATATATAAAGAATTTGCCACTGATGATTCAAACGTGAGTTTTGAGCAGTGTAGTGTAGTGCTTGTTGTTTGTCGTTTCTCCGATCACAAATGTAGACATGGTTTTATGTTTACGCGGCGCGATAGACAACGCAATGCGTAAAAAGACAGAATAAGTCATTATAATCCGTAATTATGTCCCCACTGATGCAACAAATGCCTCGTTTGTAATGGGTTTTATTGGTGTTGTCTCGTCACTCCGGCCGGGACACGGTGTCACAGTATGGTAAGGGGCGTAACATTTCCCTCACACGCTTGAGGTATTCAGCCAATCACAATGCACTGGATAGCTGGCCAATCAGCGTACACCTCGTTTTCAGAACGATAAGCTTTGTAAAAACCGATGCGTTTCAGAAAGGCGGGGCATAGAGGAGAAACAATAACGTACATTATGTGAAAAATAATAATAATTTTATTTATTTTTTTTACCTTAAACCGCATAAACGCATTGCATTACACCAAATACACAACATAATGTTCTTTTTAGCAACGTCATATGACCCCTTTAACACTCAGATGGAGTATCAGTGTAATATAATGAGAGCAGATACCCGTGCCATTCTCCTCCACTCTGGCAGTAGGGCCTGGCAGGGGCCACACCATGGAGCATAGAAATCCACCATCCACGTCTCTGAGGACTTGCGTTTCTCCACCAGCTCCTGGAATGACTCTGAGGTCAAAGTCACCACCACAGGGTTCACCAGGTCCTGCAGAACACACACTCATCCATTACATCTAAACAGGTACTGTATATAATGTGTGTATATTGCATGGATTATGAGGATATGAATAAGTGTAACTGTATTCTGTGCCTCACCTCTATGAACTCCAGGATACCGTCTGCAGAATGATGGCCTTCATACTCATGGATGCTGGACTTATTGAAGATGACAGTTGTTGGATATGCATGAATGTTGTACTGAAGAAGGGAAAGATGCAAGAGATGAGAACCAGCTCTCACCTGAACATTCATGCTCTGGTAAAATCAGCTTATTTATGTAAAATCAAAGTCTAAAATAATACCAAGTTAAATATAAACAGACAAAGACAGTGTAAGGCAGGACTATCTCTTTCGCAGTACAATGCAAGATTATTATTATTATTTCTGTAGTTTTGCTGCTAGTGGTGCAGAAATTACACTTATAATATAATAATTACTAATAATATGTTATTATTATTATTATTACATTATTTTAATAATATTATTAGTAATATGAATATATAATACTATTAATATTATTAAATAATGACTCAAACTAATTATAATCCTTCTACTTATTATAATCATATTTTTATTTAAAAAAAAGGTTTGCTGTTAGTGCTGCAGAAATGATACACTTCACCTTTAAGCAACAAGTCAAATGTTGTGTTTTCCTGTGGCATAAGGTTATGATACTTCTGTAAACAAATCTGTACACACTGATACATATAATTACTGTAATAGAAATATTATAAATTATTAATAATTATGTATTATTAATCAGTTATTTTAATATTATATAAAGACAATAAAAAGCATGATTACAATTATTGATAATAATAATAATCATTATTATAAATACCAATTATTATTTATAATAATAATTATTGTTGTTTTGTTAATTTTGCTGTTAGCGGTGCAGAAATGACACCACTTTTAAGCTATATTAAGAGAATGTGAGACATAAGTCAGATGCTGTGGTTTCCTGTGGCAAAGATTCAGAAGGTTTCACGATGATACTATAAACAGATCTGGTAACTGGTAAGACAGGAAGCTAAAGAGGATCTGAATCCATCATGCCCAATCAACCGTCAATTCATCATTTGAGCGAGGGCGAATATCTCAGTACCATATTGCAGAGCCTCTCGTGCACAGTACAGTCCAGAGTCCCAAACTTCAGCTGTCCAAAGAGTTGGACGGAGGCTTTTCTCAACTCGGGGAGAAGAGCTCGACATGGCGGACACCACTGCGAAACAGAATAATTACCCATAATTATTTTTAAAGAGACCAAATTTCAAACACAGATGTAAATTATCCTTTTAATTGTATTGACTTCACACTGTGGCAGTGACGTTCACTGTGCTTGCCTCCGCAGATCATTTCTCACCCTCCTGAGCTTGATGAATCGACCATCAGCGGGAAGTTACCATGGCAATGTAAGTACGTGCTCAGCAGATAATCATCAGCGCTCAAACAGAGGCTTCAGCAGAGATTTAACAGAGAGGTTTAGATGTAACAACTCACAGGTGCAAAGAAATCAACCAGCCAGGGCTCTTTCTCATGGCTGGGGAAGTTCTCAGGCCTCAGCGTGGTGACGTGGGCATTCACGCTCTCTTTTGCAAAGGCCACAACATTGTACAGGGCATCCTTACCTGGAGATTTAAAAAGAGTAACTGGCATCAGAATGCATTTTAGACCAATTTCAGAGCAATACTAAACTAAATTTCATCAATTTAGATCTATGTTTACAGGTTGTATTGTTACTGGCTGAACCTAAATGTCTTTTAACCCTCTGATGCTGCTTTCCTACAGTGGAGAACTTTAAAAGCCATTTAGGGTGTGAAGGTCAACCACATTTGACCTTTACCCTAGTTTGGGGTCAGAAAGATTTTATTCAGAAATGATACATCAAACTGATCAAAAGTGAAATAAAGACATTTATAATGTTGCAAAACAAAACAAAACAAACCTATTTAAAATAATAGCTGCTCTTTCATGGTTTCATGTTATCATGATTTCCACAAAAACATTCAGCAGCACAACTGTTTTCAACATTGAAAATAATAAGAAATGTTTCTTCAGCAGCAAATCAGCATAGAGTGATTTCTGAAGGATCATGTGACACTGAAGACTGGAGTAACGATGCAGACAATTCAGAAAACAGTTCTTTTAAATTGTAATAACATTTTAAAATGAACTCTTTTTACTGAATTTATCATCAAATAAATGCAGCCTTGTTGAGCAGAAGATACTTAAAAAAAACAAACAATCAACTCCAAACATTTGAATGGTAACGTATATTACTGCCCTTTTCATATGCAATTCTATTTTTATGAAAACATAATATATTAGTATAAATATGCATTGTATTTGAGAATTTTTTTTTTGTTATTTAGATGCAAAATACTTAGTCTTACTAAAGCCCTTACAAACTCACCATGGTGAATCTCAAAGTCATGAGTTCCAACTCCTTTAAAAACAGCCACACAGGGCTTCTGTATATACAGAGAAGCACACAGCTCTGAATCTGCGACACAGTCCACCTTCCCCACCTGTGCAAACAGATAAACGCAATTAATCCAACATAACAGCACTATATTCCAGAAGTCATATGACCTATGTACTGTGTAAAACAATGTTAAAAAAAGCAAACGTTCTGTAGTTTCACTCGCTCTCATGTTGGCCTCAAAAAATTGGCAAAAGCACCATAAAAGTACACTAAAGCAGTCCAAAACGACAAGGAAACTTTGTGTTTAGAGTTAAGAAACAAACTAAATATTGTACAGCTTCAAAACAATATTGCATGCAAGTCATATGAACTACTTACATGGTGCTTTTTGGACAATTTCTCCTGTGTTTTAATGATTGAAAGTCAGGCTTACAGGTTTGGAACAACATGAGGGTGAGTAAATTAAATCCTTTTATATTTTGAGTGATCTAAATAAAATCAGGGACATCAAAATAAATAAATAAAGTAAAATAATATAAATCAAGAACCTGTATGTGAGAGCCTTTCAGAAGAGCTTTGAGTTTTTTATATTCATGTGATGCCAGATCATTTTGTCCAAAGGAGAAACTGATGAGCCATTGGTGATGAGCCAATTTATGCTGAAATGACAAAGTCAGAAAAAACATCATTAAAAATAAGTAGGATATCTTTAATGGCATGTTATGCCACGCGATCATATTTTATGCAGCATGTCAGTTACTGTGTAAACAGTGGTTCTGCAGGAAGTGCTGGGTGTGGTCCAGGATGAGGGCAAACATATGATGTTCATGATAAAGTCACTTGGAGTCTTACCTCAAAGCTGCTCTTTGTAAGAATCTCCAAGTCAGGCAGATGCTGCAACACTTGTGCATATATTTCTTTAGTATCCAAACTCTGGATAAACTGCAAGGTTAATACAATCAAAATGAAAACCAGCCTATTAGATTAGCACATTTAAAAGAATAGCTCAACCCCCCAAAAAATTGCTGAGAATTTACTCACCCCGAGGCCATCCAAGATGTACGAGTTTATTTCTTCATCGGAACAAATTTGGAGAAAATTATCATTACTAAAAAGAGCGTTTTCAGCATTTGTTTCTCACAAACATGCAGCTTTTCACTTCACAAGATGTTAATTGATGGACTGGAGCCGTGTGGATTACTTGGATTATTGTGATGTTTTTATCAGCTGTTTGGACTCTCATTCTGACGGCACCCATTCACTGCAGAGGATGCATTGATGAGCAAGTGATGTGATACTAAATTTCTCCAAATCTGTTCGGATGAAAAAAACCCATCTACATCTACATCTTGCACCTGAAGGCAAGTACATTTTCAGCAAATTTTCATTTTTGGGTGAACTATTCCTTCAACAACTGGACAGGATGCATATTTATATATAAGGTACCTACCATTACGCTGCCTTTCTGAGCAAGGGAACTGCCAGGGGGAAAGAGGACAGTAGTGCTAGTGGTGATCTCAAAGCTGTCACACTGATCTGCCTGTTTGGAGCAATCCATCCATCCTACATTGACCAGACCATTCTGTAAAGAGAAACAAGTGGAGGATAGGTTACAATGTTCATTCTTGCTCACAAGACAATCTGTTTTTAAATGCTTTGAGACATGTGACACTGAAATTGAATTTGGTGAAACATGATCAGCTTAATGCTTACCAACATTCCAGCAAGCTTCAGCCTTGTTTGAGGTTCCAGACAATCTGTAAAAAAAAAGGCTTTTTATAATAAAACAAGAGTGATTATGGGTTTGCAATTCTAACATTAAGCTTTAGTAGATGTCTCACCTCCAGTGTCAGCGCAGAAAGATATCAACCAGCCGATTCTTTCGGCAAATGCTCGATCAATCTCATTAAAAATATTCCCTAAAAAAGGAAAAACAAATTACATACAATTTTCAACAAAGACAGTACAATATAAAATACTTTATAATATATATATAGCATTAATTTATTTTTTAGTACAGCTACCTTTTGCTTTAATGACAGCAGTTGCATGAACTAAAAAAATATTTTACATTTATTTTTAAAAAATATATATTTTTATTTCTAGATTGAAAGAAAATAAAATGTAAATGGTCATGCCAAAATGTAATACCTTGCCATAGCTCTGTTACTTTGCTCTTCACAAACTGCATTGCAAATGTGGTCAGGCTTGATTTTGTTCTGTCGCTATAGTATTTCTCTGGCTTCTGTTGGCATGATTACATTTATATTTTAGGATCACTACAGCCATTAAACATACATTATGTATCATATGCTGATAAAGGCAGAACGTTCTCACCATTCCCGCTCTGAACACATAGAGGCTGGGGTAGCTGTTGATGCCTTTACTACGGCACAACATGCCATTATCACCGCAGTTCACAGCGCCGATTCGAATCACACCGTCCATTTCGTTAGCAAACTCCCGCCACTGTGGGGTGCATCACATTTCAGTCAAATAACCTACAGTAACTTTAACAATCCTAACTGGTGTGAGGAGGAAGTGACTAAGAGAAGGAGAAAACGGTTACGTACCGTGGGGGCAAGATCGTGACAGTGCGAGCAGCGTGGGAAATAGAAATTCACAAACCAGACCTCGCCAGAATTTACAGCTGCATCTGTGGAAAAAGACAAAACTGGTGTCACAACACTCCACCATTGGAAAAAAAAACAAAAACAGGTTAGGCCTCCATTTGAATACTACAAGATCAGCTAAAAAGACACGATTGGTGGGATTAAAGAAACCGGACAAGAAATTTTCAGGTCATATCTCACCCCAAATGTAAAAATAAATAAAAAGAATAAAATAAATGTTGCATAAAGAAAACAGTCTTTTTAGCCTTTTTGTATTTTCTTGCATTATTTTTTAGAAATATTAAGCAGATTTCCCCTCCAGTTGCCATCATCAAGTAACAAAAAAAATCTCAAACTCATGTAAAAAAAAAATATTACAGAGTATTATTAATATTATTATCAGAGTATTATATTTTTACACTATTATAGAATGATTAGAACTATTATTAGAATTATAGAACTATTTATAAAGTACAATTATGTTTATACAATCATGTTTATTATACGGTTTAATTTTTGCTAAATAATTTTTTTTGCTTCTGTACAGTAAAAGGTTTCTCTGTTATAATGATAATAATATAATGAAAATTGCTAGTGACAGTAAATAAAATTGAAAAAAAAAAAAAAAATAATAATAAATTAAATTAAACAGTAAATGCCTGAAATCATAATTTGGATAATTTAGAGGAAAATGTGCTTGTGACGAAAATAATGTAACAATGCAAAAAAATTTTAATTTACTTTATGCAAAATATAATTTCATTTTTGTCTTTTGATTTTGGGGTATAATATGACCTGAATATGTTTTTGTTAGATTCAATCCGGCTTACAAAATGCTTTTTCAATTTGTGTAGAAATCCAAAATAAACTCAGAATCTGAATGATTTAAGATCATCGCTTACCAAAGTCCCCTCTGTCTAGTGTAGTAATTTCTGGATCATCATCATAAATTCCTGAAAAACACAGTTGCATGGTTTTTCCTCCAGCATAAAGATAAGTACGACATATCTTCCTACTTATTCTGTGTTGTACCGTGAAATAACATCCAAACATATCATAGCATAGAGAATAGAATTACCAAAATCATATCTGTAATAGTTCCAGCTTTCATATCTTCCTCCTTGCTGTTCATCTTGCAGGCCCTTCTCTCCATACTTGTCATATTTCTTCCTCAAGTCCTCATCCTTTAACACCTCGTAGGCCCGATTGATCTTCAAGAACTTCTCGTGGGCCGTTGCATCATTCTACAAAGACAATATTGGCGTTCTCAGAGTGTCACAAATGAAGGAAGACACGCATGTCTGGCTGCTATGCCATAATAAAGCTACTCACCGGGTTTTTATCCGGATGCATTGTGAGAGCAAGCTTTTTGAAAGCCTGCCGAATCTCACGAGTGCTGGCCTCTCTTGAAATACCTAGCAGCTTGTAGTAATCTTCATCAGAGGAAATGGTAACGAAAAGCCACACTGCGATGAAAGCAAACGGAAACAACTTCCTAGAAGGTCTCTGAGGATTCTGGAACATCTCCATTGTTGTTGGTGCAGACTGCAGATCTTCAGCTTCTCAGGGTTGGAGAGCTGCTTACAGGAGAGTGGTGATCCTCCTCAATGAAGATGCCTAGTAAGTGATGACAAGAGAGTGAAAAAGAAAGGGAAGAGAGCTCAACTCCGGTGCTATTGGAAATGAACACGTAGGTGTTTACAGAAGGCGGAGCGACTTTCTCATGCCATTTTTGATGCAAGTCGCATCTCCAATCATTAATGATTAAAAAAAAAAATTATCATTATTTTTGAATTCATTACTTATTTCAGCTCTCATTTTGATTCTTATCACTGTAATAGCACATACTACAATATATACAGTATGAAGGCAACTCAACAAACAGTACAATTACGTCGTAGGCATTTAACAACTTATACTATGTTACACTAGTAAACGTATTTACTATACAATACACGTGCTTAGTTCTCATGAATATACAAATATATAAAACACAGATTACAAAAAGAATACCTTCTTAGTAGTGTGTGTGTGTGTGTGTGTGTGTGTGTGTGTAATGAGACTGCCTCAGGTTAACGTTAGTTGTGCAAAGCTAAAGCTGCACACTAGTACGAGACTCGTCAGTTTAGTATAACAGCTCAGTTTAGGATATTTGTGTCCAAACCGAAATGAGTTTAGCTCATTTTCGATTGATAGTGAATGTTAAATGTGAGACTGCAGACACAAGCTGTTGTATCATCCGGCTAATTACTGCATTCCAATCAGAAAACTTTTGAACGAAATCCACAAGTTATTCACAGAGATAAATGAAAGTAACATTAGCACATTTATTACGATACAGTGTGTTTATTGTCTCACCTTTTGTTAAATATTCTTTATTACTCCTGCAGTTCTCGCCTAATTCATGATATTACTCCCGAATCACCGGCGTCTGCAGCAGTGTGAAGCAAGCGGCCGAACGAGAATAATAAATCCCCGGAAGTACGTGATTTTTCATAATAAGAGTATTCAATATAACTGCATTTGTTTCTCGTGAGATTAATTTTTTTTTTTATCTAAATGTCTTTAAATGTATATTGTTGGCTAATATAAATTGTGTGTATGTATACATTTATTTACAAGAGACTTAAATTTGCGCTACTGGTGACGCCTGCTGGTTAAAACTCAAATATAAGAGCTTTAATTTGTTTCATTTTCATTGGTTATTACGTTTTCCCCAGTCCCCAATGTGTTATTTCCAAGCGGCAACCTCCCGGTCTCTCGCTTGAAACCAATACGGAAGTGACTAAAACTGCAATTCATCGACTGGCCGCTAGAGGCTGGCTCCAAAAGGGAGTCAGTCCCATAGACTCCCCCATGTTAAAATGCCCAACTTTAAAGCAGAACAAAAATGTTTACAGCCTGGTACAAAAAGTGCTTTTGGTCTATATAGGTAATTTTGCCCTTCATGATAACTGTGAGGGGCGTGAATTTTTTTTTATAACTCATCTGTTTAAATTATATTAAGCCTTAAAGTTCTGCATAATTAAGGGCGTGGCCATTTGAGTGACAGGCGGACTGCCGCTCTGCTCCAGAGTGTGAAACTCGCTAGACTGTGAAACTTAGAAAAATGGCTTTAAAGATTTTTATTTGTCCAGAAAAAATTAATTATGGGTAGGACACTGGAAATCTGGCAATTAGATGTTTTAATGAAAATGAACTCTTGAAACTTGATTTTACCGCTCTTTTGAAGTTATTGTAGGTACTCTGCCTTTGCACTGTCTGCAAAAAGTGAGATGTCACGCCAAGGCAAAAGGCAGTAGCTTCCACATTATATACAATATTTTGGTGCTGATCACCATTTACAGAATCATTATAGTAACATCTATATAAAATCTAGTGATCATTGGCTAGGCTATAACATATAATAATGTAATTAAAAAAAAATGTCTGACCGTAACAACCAGACAAAAAGTTAAAGGGGTCATATGGTGCTATTTTAAAGATCATTATTTTGTGTATTTGGTGTAAGAGAATATGTTGACATGCTTTAATGTTCAAAAAACACACTACCTATTGTAGGTCCTCTATGCCCCGCCTCTCTTGCCGAACACCACAAGCACGCGTCGGAAATGTAATGCCCCTTACCATAATCACGAGCTTCAGCTTTCAAAGTAAATATTAAGACAGTTAATAATGTTGTTAGTTTTACCATCAGTTCAAGCCTGAAAGGGCAACAGAGTCGCGTGACAGACACAGTCATCTGGCATCTCCATTATAAAAAGAAAAACCAAAAACTTTAAAGATTATTTACGATTCATTATTGTTGCCAAGTTATCTAGTCCTTGCTTGTTTACAGTGCTTTGTTATATGGAGCAGTTCGTTAGATCGTGATCTATCTAATTTGTTTGTCTAAAGAAGTGCGGACAGATGTATGAAAGTACACAAGTCACACCGTAATTTAAAAGCGCAGACTTTAATGTACAATAAAAACAGAGGCAGAATACCGTATAACTCCAGGCTGGCACAGTAATATTGACGAACGGCTAAACAGATGCAGAGCACCATAACTTAATTTGAGCGATCTAAAACAAAGTCAAAGAGCAGTAACTGATGATACTGTGTTCTGTCTTGGTTTCTCCTGGGCTTTTCTCCAAGATACTTGATAAAGGAGGTAATTTATGTCCCAAAATGATCAATAACTAATTTCGACCAAAAACGAAGTTATGGTGTTTTGTCTTTGCACGGCAGCACTGCTGTCACCATAGACGGGTGTGGTTTCAGCAACTATCTCAGCTTCACCCACGTCCCGTCTTTTTGCCCATTTTCGAATATCGAAAATGACGCGTGGTGACACGCTGCGAAGATGGCGGCGGTCAGCTCCGCCCACTTTAGGCTTCAAAAATGCTCTTCTGAACCCTACGAGTGACGTCACAGACACTACGTCCATGTTTTTTTACAGTCTATGGTTATTTCATAGTTTTAATGACTTTTCTATTATTATAAATAATAATAAATAAATAAGTAATAATAAGGAATGAGAAAGAATGTCCAAACGTTTGATTGGCAGTAGTTTATTCATTGAAATGATCGAATATAGATATTCCCAGATAAAAATTTCATTTAAATCAAGCCACTGTGTCATTGCAGACAATTGTGAACAAAATCAAAAGTACTTTACATTTTATGTTGATCAATATTAAATTGTCATGGGTCATGCTGCATTCCACCTGAGAGCACTGTTTGCATATTACAGATTAAGAACCACTGGTTTACTTCATTTAATTAATTTACTTCAATGAATGCAATCATCTTTCCTTGGAGATTGAGAAAGAATATTTCTTCACCAGTACTACATGTACAACACAGAGATGTTAACAATTAACAGGATAGATATATGTATGGTTTGGTACTGTGACAAGCTGGATGTAAACACTCACAGTTAATGATGTTTGTCAGGCAGCTGTAAACTACCTATGGGTCGTTCAAACACCAAACTTGTGTAAGTCTGTAGGGTGTGAGAGGAAGTCTATGAAATGTTACACATTCATAAAATGTTATCTTTATGAAACCAGTATATGTTGTTCTCTCTTTGGGACCTCATGCTCAATCATCGTAATAGCTTATGAGTCGTTCTGCTTCTCTGACCCCTGTGAGATATGCGTTTCTCCTGGGCTTTTCTCCAAGATACTTGATAAAGGAGGTAATTTATGTCCCAAAATGATCAATAACTAATTTCGACCAAAAACGAAGTTATGGTGTTTTGTCTTTGCACGGCAGCACTGCTGTCACCATAGACGGGTGTGGTTTCAGCAACTATCTCAGCTTCACCCACGTCCCGTCTTTTTGCCCATTTTCGAATATCGAAAATGACGCGTGGTGACACGCTGCGAAGATGGCGGCGGTCAGCTCCGCCCACTTTAGGCTTCAAAAATGCTCTTCTGAACCCTACGAGTGACGTCACAGACACTACGTCCATGTTTTTTTACAGTCTATGGTTATTTCATAGTTTTAATGACTTTTCTATTATTATAAATAATAATAAATAAATAAGTAATAATAAGGAATGAGAAAGAATGTCCAAACGTTTGATTGGCAGTAGTTTATTCATTGAAATGATCGAATATAGATATTCCCAGATAAAAATTTCATTTAAATCAAGCCACTGTGTCATTGTAGACAATTGTGAACAAAATCAAAAGTACTTTACATTTTATGTTGATCAATATTAAATTGTCATGGGTCATGCTGCATTCCACCTGAGAGCACTGTTTGCATATTACAGATTAAGAACCACTGGTTTACTTCATTTAATTAATTTACTTCAATGAATGCAATCATCTTTCCTTGGAGATTGAGAAAGAATATTTCTTCACCAGTACTACATGTACAACACAGAGATGTTAACAATTAACAGGATAGATATATGTATGGTTCGGTAATGTGACAAGCTGGATGTAAACACTCACAGTTAATGATGTTTGTCAGGCAGCTGTAAACTACCTATGGGTCGTTCAAACACCAAACTTGTGTAAGTCTGTAGGGTGTGAGAGGAAGTCTATGAAATGTTACACATTCATAAAATGTTATCTTTATGAAACCAGTATATGTTGTTCTCTCTTTGGGACCTCATGCTCAATCATCGTAATAGCTTATGAGTCGTTCTGCTTCTCTGACCCCTGTGAGATATGCTCCATGGGTCGTGGTGTAGAAGTTCTCATGTGTAGCTTCACCAGCAAACAACACCTGAAGGTGCTTCAAAAACAAAGATAAATACAATAAATTTGTTATTAACTTCATCACTGCTCGAAACTGTCTTTTTCCACTATTGCAATTTACATCAGAATGTGGACATCCGTGTTTTTATTGTTAAAACTAAAACAGTAATATTTTTCATTCACTGTAAAAAAAAACTGAAATAAAATAAATAAAAGTTAAAAGAAAAACGTAAAATGAAAATTGAGAAATGTCACCTTGGCAGCTAATTGCTATAAAATCAGTTGAAGTACCAAAAGTACTAACATTTAAGTAAAAAAATAAAGCTAAACAGAATATATACAAATACAAAAGAAATTATTAAAATAAATATAAATTAAAAAAATATAAAAAGAAAATAAAAAAATATTAATATTAATAAATGCAATAATATATAAATAATAGTAAAATAACACTGGTTAATATATAGCTGTTTATTTGTAATAATCATAAGTTATGAAAAACAAAATAGATATCCAATTCTACTAAAAATTCCTTATATTTTGTACTATATAGATAAAAATGAAATGTATACATATATTCAAACAATTAAACAAGTTATTAGGAGGTTACCGTCATCCCTCTGGATTCATCTTTAGGAGGAAGAGGTGACGCTAATGCCTTGTGTGCTTTCACTCCATCAACACCATCAGGAATAAATGTGTAGGAGCCACGGACGTGAGAATCAGAACCCCATCTGGAGATTAGCGTCTTTGAGACCTCTGGCACTGACCAACCTGTGAAAGACCTGAGCAACCTTCAAAGACATAAACAGAATTTGTCAGCATTTTCAGATTAGTACTGCTATTTACCGATAACCATATATTTTGGCCAACACGTTCCAACACATGCTTCTCACACTTGGTGCTTCAACTCTCCATATTTTAATGATAATAAATGTTTTCACATTTAATCATTGTTGTCTGTAATGGAATTTTTTTAACAATTAGAGTCCTTTCATGGATGTTGGCTGTGTGAAGTTCTCTGTGGTTGGTTTTGTGGAAACGGGTTATTCAGTGTGAACATGGGCATTTGCTGTCACTTAGTGTTCCACCTTCCCTATTATTCACATTTGGTTTTTGCCCACTATTCTTCTTCGCTGATGAAGTCATGCCATTGTTTTTAAATGCAGTTATAATTGTAAAGACTGTTGTTTTTAACTCCAGAAGGTAGATCTCTCAGGAGCACATCTAAGACTGCTCGATAGCCTCCGGGCCCCAAGGTGTTAAAAAAGTCTCCCTCTAATGCAGTGTAATTGCTAATCTGAGATGCAGACACCTCATAGAGGCTAGAGCAAGCCTCATCTGTGCATTCATTCCTCTTGCACCATTCAAAAACTTGCTGGCCGTCTTCTTTCGCGGCTAAAGGAGATTCACTAAAGGCATCATCCAGATAAGCACCCAGACTTAGTTTCCTGTGTTTGTGCTTAAGTTCATCATCAAAAGCTTTGTCGGTGAGCTTGCTGAAGTGCAAACACACCTGATCTACAAGCTTTGTGGAGACCTGCTTCCCATCTTCTTTGAAAAAGTAATCTTGATGGGTTACAGAACGGGACTTTTTGAATGCAGAAGTTCCCTCGGATAGCAGATTCTCCTCTTTTGCCATCTTGAACAGGGGGTTTCTTTTCTGTCCGTGGATCCAGTTTGCTCCAACTTCGATGATGTTCTCGGTGAAGGGTTTAGTGGTGTGCACTCGACCTCCAATTCTTTCCTTTGCCTCAAGAACCAGGACATTTTCAAATCCTGTCTTCACCAATGTTGCTGCAGCGGCCAACCCTGCAAAACCTGAACCTACAATTACCACTTTAGCATCTTCTGGTCCGGAACAAGAGCTCATTCTTACTGCTTTGTTGAGCTGTTTAGAGAGAGAAAAGCTGAAAATGTAAAAATGTAGTTGTAAGAAAAAAATAGCAACTCTCGCACAAAAACTTGCACAGGAGATAAGAGAGTAATGCACTGTGCCCTAAAAGAGGCTCCTTTATGTAACCATGCTTAGAAACCTGAAGAACCTGTAAGACCTGACCTTTGTATTCCATACAATATATCACTATTTACATAATTAGGCAGTCATGGAACATCCAATGGCAGAAGAAGATTTATATTCTATTGTAGCCTACGCAACGTGACGTTCTCTTGTTTGCACATTTAAGGCTGCATGATAATAAAATGTTTTGCTACCCAATGAAACTACACGAAGGAACACACATTACTGTTTCTATAGGCCTACATCCACCTCGATGGTAGTGACAGTGTGAAGACAGCAATGTTAATATTTTATATATATTATATAATAACTTCAAAATAAATGTCTGTTCAGGAAAAAATTAAACACACTTTAAAAATTAACACTTGGCCCAACCCACAAACTAAACCCCCACCTAAACTAACTAAATATTATTACGTAGAAAATGCATCTTGATTTAAAGGGGTCATAGGATACCCATTTTCTACAAGTTGATATGATTCTTTAGGGACTTAATGAAAATCTGTAACATAGTTTGGTTAAAATTTCTCAATGGTAGTGTAAAAAAACACCTTTTTTATCCTGTCAAAAACAGCTCTTTTCAGATCAAGCCGTTTTTGTAGCTTTTTCATTTAAATGTTAATGAGCTCTGCTGGCCCCGCCCCTCTCTTCGGAGCTGCTCTCAGTGAGACTGTTTACTTTAGCCGCATTCATCGTGAAACTTGCTAATTAGCACATTATTAGGAAAGGTGATTTGCAAAGATTCATTACAAAACATTATACTCACTTCTTCTGTAGATGAGGCTGGATCATGAATGATTCGGGCGAACATAGACGCATTTATGTAGATCAGGGGAGCATTCCCTTCAGAAACAAATGTAATCCACTGCGAGTTCAGCGGCTCAGATGTCGGGAGTAAATGACGACTGCTATGTTCATTATTACATCCAACAACAGAAAACCTCCATCGCTTGTTAGGAGTCATTCTTGTCTACATCTGCTCCAGAGGTGAAACAATGGCGGACTGATGGCAGCTCACTCAGGGCGGGTTTAAGGTAAGACATCAGTCCAGTCTGTGCTGAAACACTACTGTCAATCAAACTATCGTGGGAGGGGATTGGCTGAGATCGGCTCGATTTGAGAAAGGGGAACATTTAACCAGATAAAAAAAAACACTGGGTGGATTTTTATCATTATAGGGTGGTTCTGTACACACTCTACCAACACACATTTCAGTTCAAACAACTTGTGAAAGTGCATGTAACATCCTATGACCCCTTTAAGAATCTTCAGATATTTGGACTGGAAACAAGAAGACAAGAAAGACATTTTTTGCAGTGCAGGTATTCATTCATTGTGCATATTTTCATCATGCAGACAGCGTAAAAGTGACAAAAATGGCATCTCCTTTTATACAGGATCCTGCATTTGAGGAGGCTGCATTAATTTGTAGGGAGTTTTTTTTGTGCCATATTCACATGCATATTTATTTGAGATGTACCATTTTTAAATGGTAGTTTTCTATAAAACATTGGAGATGCAGAGCACATTAGTAAAGCCACTGTATGCAGAGCGGTAAGAAAAGTGTGCGTCACACTTACACTCTTTCTTAGACTTTTTGTGTTGCTTCCTGGGCATAAATCTGTCAAAAAGGAGTTTTACAGAACTGCAGCCAGGTCATTGTTGTAGAAATAGGTTTAAATGAGGCTAATCTGATAAATGACGTTCACTTGATAACATCTTGCTGTGACCTCTGGAAGTAACCTAATAATTAGAATTTCCTTCAGGATTTCCAGTGTGGTTGGATGCATTGATGACACACGTATTCCCATCATTGATTATTTGGTCATCTTTAAAATACAAAAAGCCACAGTTTTTCTTTTCCTTTTGGATTTTAAAATTCTTTCAATACTCGACTATCACCTCTTCATCTGTCAGTGGTGGTGCAGGTTCTCCCCCTATTTTGAGAGCCTCTGCCTTCTTGCTGTTGGCTGAGTACAAGTCAGATGTCATTTCTGACAGTAATTTCATTACTGTAATTAAGAAATGCAACAAGTTGAATTAGAGAATATTTATGTGAAAAAAGCATTAGACTTTGTGGAAAATGCTGCTGCGAATAGAAATAGACACTATGATATATAATGTGTCAAATGTTTGTAAAGTCGTGTAGTACGGTGGCCGAGAGAGCTCAACGCGCTGCAACTTAAAAAAAAAGGAAAAAAAGAAAAGATGTTTAACTTTATTTATTTGTTTTTGTTCTGTTTATCTTTCATTTTTATTATTCTTTATATATTTATTGTTTTGTATTCTGGTTGTGTATGTAATTTATTGCTATGACTGTATCCCCTGTGAATGTTATATCTTCAATAAAAAAAAGAAAGGAAAAAAAAGGAATCACTAGCAGAAACTCAAAAAAAAATAAAAAAAGCCACTGCACAAAACAAATCCCAGCCGGGTCCGTCACTTTTTTGGCTCCCCTTGAAACATTTCCATTGTGGTCCGTGCTATTTGCAGCGCGTTTCTTCATTTGCATGTGCTGTGAGGATTTGCAGCGCGTGTGTTGTCAAACTGATGAAGATGTTTTCTTAATTTGCTGGTGTTTTTTCAATTTGCATGTGTTTTCTTAAGTTGCAGCGCGTTGAGCTCTTTCGGCCACCGTAGGGGTGTAGCCTACAACCCTAAACCTTTTATGCTTAAAGCTTGAATTGTTTTTATACTTCGTTTTTAGCTGCTGCCAAGTTCTTTTTTTGTTAGTTTTTTTTGCCCTTGGATACCATGAAAATGATTATTAGTCAAATAATTTACAGTTTTCATCTTTGATATTATAACAGTGATTAAGAATTAAACTTAGTAGGCATTGTTTTAGACGATGCAGACGTCTTTTTGTCTGGTGCCGTTGCCATGGTGAATCATAATTTCACAGCTCCATTTTACATGACTTCTCATAGTCGTGGTGCCCGTGATAAACTCAGAGTGGATTGAACTAACACAACTCAACTGTTCTGAACCCGAAAACGCAGAGTTTCACATTTCAGGGTAAGTCAACTCAGAGTTCTAGTTTTAACTCAGAGTTGGTTGAACCTCCTTATTGAAACGGGCCCCTGATGGCATAAATTGGCGCTGGTAGCCTACACTATTTTGGTCACCTTGTGCGTCCTGAGGTAAAGGTAATTTAGCCCGAACTTCATGAACTGTTTATGAGATTAGGCTACTAAATACTCGAAAACCTCTAAACAACTATACCACCTCCAAACAGAAAAAAACAACGAAAACGAGAAATTAAAAGAAAATGGCCAAACACACAAGACAGGAAAATACTTTCATGAACGTACTTTCATGAACGCCATCTAAAGTTTGCTGCAGCCATTACAACGACGGTTGGCATCGCACAGTTTTTCACGGATATAGTTCTGTCAGGACCACTATCGTCAAAATGATAGATACTTAGCATAAAGTTTGGTTTGGCGGTATGGTTCTGTTCTGGGCAAAAAACTCCCTGCCCATCCATGCAGCCTGTCATGAGCAGCAATAATAACCCCCCTATGGTTAACAGAACAGAACAAGGCAGATATCATTAATGTACTTAATGATATTTAAGTGTAACACTTTATTCAAGATAAAGGAGTCTGATTAGCAAGGAATATCAGAAAGCCAAGTCCTGACTGTGGCGAAAGGAGGAGCTGGTGATGGAGGAGGTTAATTTGCTCCCAAGCAAGCTGAAAAGCTGCTGAATAATACTGAATAGAGCTTATATAGGAATGCCGCGATAGGTATCGTATTCCTATAGGTAGATGTGATCAGCTGAGAATCAGCTGATGCAAGCTTGACTCACGTGACCTGCCAGAACTAACGCTAACACTTTAATTTATTTATGACTCATATATTAGACTTATTCATAATTTAGTTAGATTTTATTCATAAACATTGTTCTGTTGTACTTTGAGGTGTCTGAGGTAATTCTGTTGAAATGTTTTTGTTCTGCTTTTCAAAGGCTATTCAAGTTTGTCACGCCCCAGATTAAACTTTGTGTTAACTAACGTTACTATCCCTGCTAAAAGAACAGCTTAAACAAGGCTATATATGTTATTTCGTAGACTTTTTAATTATTCAAAATAATAATAAATGAGGAAAATAGTAAATAAGAATGAGAAAGCTTGATTTGCAGTATAGTTTATTCATTTAAATTAACAAATATAAATATTCCCAGATAAACGATTCATTTAAATCAAGGCACTGTGTTATTTCACAGCGAACAAAATCATAATTTCTTTACATTTTATGTTGATCAATATTAAATTGTCATGGGTCATGCTGCATACCACCAGAGGGCACTGTATCCCAGATTAAGAACCACTCGTTTACTTTATTTAATTTATTTACTTCAATGAATGGAATCATCTTTCATTTTTAGAAAATATTATTTAACTTTCTTTGGAGATTGGGAAAGAATATTTCTCCATCAGTACTACACGCACAACACCGAGATGTTTAACAATTAACAGGACAGAGATATCCATTGTACCATGACCAGCTGAATGTAGCTAAACACTCACATTTAATGATGTTTGTTAGGCAGCTGTAAATGACCTATGGCTCGTTTAAACATAGTTTGTGTAAGACTAGGGTGTGAGAGCAAGTCTATAAAATGTGAAATTCGTGAAATGCTATCTCTATGAAACAAAGTGTATGTTTTCCTCTCTTTGGGACTGTATGCTTAATTGGTGTAATAGCTTATGATTCGTTCTGCTTCTCTGACCCCTGTGAGATACGCTCCATGGGTCGTGGTGTAGAAGTTCTCATGTGTAGCTTCACCAGCAAACAACACCTGAAGGTGCTTCAAAAACAAAGAGAAATAAAATCATTTTGGTATTAACTTCATTACTGCTTGAATTTGTAAAATGCAATCTTTTTCACTATTGCAATTCACATCAGAATATGTGGATATCAGTGTTGCTATTGTTAAAACAAAATAATGTTTTTTTTGTTCACTGAAAAGAAAAAAAAACTAAACTAAATAAAATATAAAAATTAAAAGAAAAACTTAAATTGAAATTTAGAAACATCGCCTTGGCGCTAACTCCTATAAAATCAGTTGAAGTACTAAAATTACTAAAACTAAAATTTAAATAATAAAAAAGCTAAATAGAATATATACAAATATAAAAGAAAATATATAAAAATAAATATATGTAATGTATATACAGGTGCATCTAAAAAAATTTGAATACTTTATTTTTTGTAACCTATTTCAAAAATGGAAACTTTTATATATTCTAGATTCATTACATGTAAAGTAAAACATTTCAAATGTTTTTTTTTTTAATTTTGATGATTAGAGCTTACAGCTCATAAAAGTCAAAAATCCAGTATCTCAAAATATTAGAATATTTACATTTGAGTGTCATTAAATGACCATTCCTACAATATAAATTCCGGGTATCTCTTGTTCTTTGAAACCACAATAATGGGGAAGACTGCTGACTTGGCAATGGTCCAGAAGACAATCATTGACATCCTCCATTGATAAGTCACAGAAGGTCATTACTGAAAGGGGTGGGTGTTCACAGAGTGCTGTATCAAAGCATATTAAATGCAAAGTTGACTGGAAGGAAGAAAATGGGTAGGAAAAGGTGCACAAACAACAGGGATGACCGCAAGCTTGAGAATACTGTCAAACTAAGCCGATTCAAACACTTGGGAGAACTTCACAGGGAGTGGACTGAAGCTGGAGTCAGTGCATCAAGAGTCACCACGCTCAGACGTCTTCAGGAAAAGGGATACCAAGCCACTTCTGAAACAGAAACAACGTCAGAAGCATCTTACCTGGGCTAAGGAGAAAAATAACTGGACTGTTGCTCAGTGGTCCAAAGTTCTCTTTTCAGATAAAAGTAAATTTTGCATTTCATTTGGAAATCAAGGTCTGGAGTCTGGAGGAAGACTGGAGAGGCACAGAATCCAAGCTGTTTGAAGTCCAGTGTGAAGTTCCGAAGTCAGTGATGATTTGGGGTGCCATGACGTCTGCTGGTGTTGGCCGATTGTATTTTTATCAAGTTCAAAGTCAATGCAGCCGTCTACCAGGAGATTTCGGAGCACTTTATGCTTCCATCTGCTGACAAGCTTTATAGAGATGCTGATTTCCTTTTCCAGCAGGACTCCAGCAGCACCTGCCACAGTGCCAAAACCACTTCCAAGTGGTTTGCTGACCATGATATTACTGTGCTTGATTGGCCAAGCAACATGCCTGACCTGAACCCCATATGGAATCTATGTGATATTTTCAAGAGAAAGATGAGAAACAGTCGATCCAACCATACAGATGAGCTGAAGGCCGCTATTAAAGAAACCTGTGCTTCAATAGTGCCTCAGCAGTGCCACAGGCGGATCGCTTCCATGCCACACCTCACTGATGCTGTCATTTGTGCTTAAGGAGCACTGACTAAGTATTGAGTGCATAAATGAACATACTTTAAAGAGCTTGAGCTTTTCTGTTTTGCAAATCCTTTTTTTTTATTGATCTTAGGAAATATTCTAATATTTTGAGATACTGGATTTTTGACTTTCATGAGCTGTAAGCTCTAATCATCAAAATTAAAACAAAAAAAGTTTTGAAATGTTTTACTTTACATGTAATGAATCTAGAAAATATGAAAGTTTCACTTTTAGAAATGTTACAAAAAAACTTTTTCACGATATTCACATTTTTTTGAGATTCACCTGTAATATAAAAAAATCAAACACTTGTACAAGTTATTAAGAAGTTACCTTCTTCCCTCTGCATTTATCTTTAGGAGGAAGAGGTGACGCTAATGCCTTGTGTGCTTTCACTCCATCAACACCATCAGGAATAAATGTGTAGGAGCCACGGACGTAAGAATCAGAACCCCATCTGGAGATCAACGTTTTTGAGACCTCTGGCACTGACCAACCTGTGAAAGACCTGAGCAACCTTCAAAGACATAAATTAAAAAAAAAAGATTAAAAAAAGATTATTACTGCCATTTACTGATAACCACATATTTTGCAACACGTTCCAAACTCTACAAACAAATTATAAAGGTCCCAGCCTTCTTAGAATAGGTTCATACAACATTTGAATAGTCTACAGTAGAATGTCATCTATCAGAACACTGCCCAAATGCTTCAGAGATGTTGAAGGAGAGAATCTGCTTCTCACTGTTCTCTCCAAAACTGCCCATAGTGGTTTGATAGTATTCATATCAGTTCAGATTTTGAAGTTCATCTTAGTACTCCAACTCTCCATGTTTTATGATCATAACATCTTTTTGAACACCTTTTTCACATTTTAGCATTGGTGTCTGTGATTAAATGTTTAGCAACTGCAACTCTTTCATGGATTTTGGCTGTGTGAAGTTCTGTGTGGTTGGTTTTTGTGGAAAAAGGTTCTTCAAGGTGGATATAGAAATTTGCCGTTACTTTGCATCAGTAGTCCTGTGTTGTCTGAGAACAATCCTTCTTAGTGTTTGACAGTCCCTATTATTCACTTTTGGTTTTTCGCCCACTATTCTATTTTATTTATTCCAAGCAAAAAATAATGACTATGAATCTGATACATTTTTACCATGACTGTCATTCATAATGTAATTCACTGCAACATTAGTTTGTATACCAAAAAATGGATCACAGTGCAGCCCCCAAAAACACAAATTAAATTGTTATTTTTTTAATCAATATTTAACCATGGTAAAATGATCATATGTCATATATTTCATCATTTATGTTACTATACCTTACACAGATATCTCCTATTTCACTGTCCTGAAGATTCTCCATATACAGAGCTTCTCTACCTGTGATCCAGCCACACAGGGCCGTGGGATGGCGGGCCACTGTATCAAAACCAGTGATCTTCTTGAACCACGTCTTTTTCCAGGCTTCTCCTTCAGACAGAGACTCATAAACATCTTTATCTTCAGGCCCCTCTTTCCACACCACCTGCACCCCGACACAGTCATCTGGCCAGAAACTCTTCTCAAAAAACAAGAATATTTTGTCTACTATCCCAAAGCCGAGATTCTCAATTGCAGACAGCTTTGTTGATGGTAAGGGTGGTTCAAACATGGTTGAGGCTTTGTCTTTGAGAACCCCGAGAGAAACGGTGACAATCACATGGTCTGCCTCAAAGCTCTGTCCATTTTCACAAACGACCTGAACAGGATACCTTTGGTTTTCACAATGGCCTTTTCTTACCAAATCCCATCGGATGCTCTTGACAGGTGCACTACACTGGATGGATCCTGAAGGTAGATCTCTCAGGAGCACATCTAAGATTGCTCGATAGCCACCGGGTCCCAAAGTGTTAAAAAATCCTCCCTCTAAAGCAGTGTAATAGCTAATCTGAGATGCAGACACCTCATAGAGGCTAGAGCAAGCCTCGTCTGTGCATTCAGTCCTCTTGCACCATTCAAAAACTTGTTGGCCATCTTCTGTCGCCACTAGAGGAAATTCACCGAAGGCATCATCCAGATAAGCACCCAGACTTAGTTTCCTATGCTTGTGCTTGAGTTCATCATCAAAAGCTTTGTCGGTGAGCTTGCTGAAGTGCGAACACACCTGATCTACAAGCTTTGTGGAGACCTGCTTCCCATCTTCTTTGAAAAAGTAATCTCGAGGGGTTACAGAACGGGGCAGGCACATGTTTTTGGAAGCAGAAGGTCCCTCACATAGCAGGTTCTCCTCTTTCGCAATCTTGAACAGGGGGTTTCCTTTCTGTCCGTGGATCCAGTTCGCTCCAACTTCAATGATGTTCTCGGTGAAGGGTTTAGTGGTGTGCACTCGACCTCCAATTTTTTCCATCGCCTCAAGGACCAGGACATTTTCAAATCCTGCCTTCACCAACGTGGCTGCAGCGGCCAACCCTGCAAAACCTGAACCTACAATTACAACTTTGGCATTTTCTCGTCCAGAACAAGAGCTCATTCTTGCTGCTTTGTTGAGCTGTTTAGAGAGAGAAAAGCTGAAAATTTATAAATGTAGTTGTAAGAACAAATAGCAACTTCTCGCACGAAAACTTGCACAGGAGATAAGAGAGTAATGCACTGTGCCCTAAAAGAGGCTCCTTTATGTGCCCGTGCTTAGAAACCTGTAAAACCTGACCTTTGTAGTCCATACAATATATAATTATTAACGTAATCAGGTGGTCATGGTACATCCAATGGCAGATTAAGCTATTAGGTGTGTTTGACTTTATGCAGCGACCAGCCGGTGAGAGTTGCCGCTTACAGTCGGGGGTGAAATTGAAAGCGAAGATGTCAAGTCGGACACTTTCAGTTCCCGGTAGTGATGCTCACGCTGTGTTTGCATACTCTTATCACAGATAAAGTGAATTAAATGCAATATTTGTCAAATACAGACGTTTCAGAAACATTTTCATGAGCAACAGAAACACAGCATGACGTTCTCTCGTTTGCATTTATAAGGCTGCATGATGATTTTGTTTTGCTACCAAATTAAACTGCATGAACAAACACACATCATTGTTTTTATACTTCTGATTGGATAGTAGTGACAGATGTGTGTGTGAAGACAGAGATGGTAATAATTTTTGCAAACTGAACTTCAAAATAAATGTCTGTTTAGGAAAAAAAATATTAAAGTCGACATGAAACGGAAGTTGCGATTGTCTTTTCTTCTCTACTGTGACATATATCCGAGTGAAACGGCATCTGAAATGAGAGGGCGGGACTTGATTTTGTCCTTTGGGAATTGATTGGATCATTGGAAGTTGGGGTCAACGATCAACGGCACAAAACATGCCCAAACAGCGTGCGCACACGTGCGAGTGAGAGAGACACTGCCCGAATGACTGAGCGTGTCCTCCATCAGGTTAAGTCATAGTCATGAAAAAAATTAGTTTGCGATGTCCTAAGAGTAATGCTGTCGTAATATCCTAATATCTTTTCAATGTTTAGGGGTAACGTACTCTCTCATGACTGGTGTCAGTGCTATAAAGTGAAGCAGCAGCTTCAGTTTCCCCCCCTGTCGTTTATCCCAGCGTTTACCCCTCACGTCACTAGCTCCGCCCTTGCGCCATAGCTCGTGACCGGAAGAGTAGAGGATTCGTTTTGAGGGGGAGGGGAGGCTAACGTTTTTGATTACTATAACGTTTTTGATCACTACAGTATTCCATCAAAAAATAAGAATTGTCCATTTTGATTTCAAGCTGGCTTTAAAACACATTAAAACTAAAAAGGGGCACTTGATCCCCAAACAAAACTATTATTAAATTATTAAATTAAAAATTAAAAATATACTCATATAAAATATTATTCACATTTCTGTCTTTTTTAAATGTATTTTTATGTATGTGACATACATTCGCTGCAAGAGCTAAACTAAAGCCTTTATGAATGGGAAAATAATTAGTGTACTGAGAGTAGGCTACCTGTTCGAGAAATCTGCCACAGCAGGAATCTGTTTTTTAATGGAAACTCCAAACATAAGCCCTTTAAATGACACTTTAAAAACAGACTTTTTAAGAAGCATGAGAAACTATTTTTTTTCTGTATAAAATACAGATAACAACAAAAATGTTTTAGTCAACTATGTACTGAAGGCGTACGATGGCACTATTAATAAAGGTGCTTCAAAAGGTTCTTCAAGCGATGCCATAGAAGAACCATTTTTGGTTCCACAAAGAACCATTCCGTCAAAGGTTCTTTAAAGAACCATCTCTTTCTAACATTTTTATAATCTGAAGAACCTTCTTTCGCCACAAAGAAGCTTTTGTGAAACAGAAAGGTTCTTCAGATGTTAAAGGTTCTTTATTGAACCATTTAGACAAAAAGGTTCTTCTATGGCATTGTGAAGCACCTTTATTTTTAAGAGTGTAGTAGCGTATTCTATTTGGTCACCTGTGCATGTTGCTGAGGTAAAGGTGATTTCATCCGAACTACATGAACTGTTTATGAAATTACTATATACTTCGAAAACCTCTAAACAACTATAACACCTCCAAATAGAAAAATCAACGAAAATGACAAATTAAGAGAATAATACAGTTACATTTAAATTTAGTCATTTTGCAGATGCTTTTGTCCAAAGCGACTTACAATTGGGGAATAAATAAAGCGATTGTTCATAAAGAGGCAAACAGACACAGTAAGTGCTCGTAATACCAAGTTTCAGGCATTTGTTCAAATAAGTACAAGCTAGAAAGGAAAGGAATAAATAAAGAGAAAGACAACGTTTTTTATTTAGGATGAAGTGAAGTAGCGTCGAAAGAGATGAGTTTTCAGCTGTCACTTGAAAATTGTCAGGGATTCAGCATTCCGGATAGGGGTGGGAAGATCATTCCACCAGCCAGGAACGGTGAACGAGAATGTCCTGGAAAGTCATTTTGAGCCTCTCTGTGATGGTACCATGAGGCGTCGCTCATTAGCGGATCTCAGACTTCTGGAGGGGATGTAGATTCGTAGTAGTGAGTGGAAGTAGGCGGGTGCTGAGCCTGTGGCTGGTCTA